CCATTGCGACCCTGTATAGGGTTTCCAAGGAGCAGCCGGTGAGCTTGAACTGACGACCTTGCAGTTCAACCTGACAATTCAGTCCAGCACATTAACCCACAGCACCACACTGGACTCCAAAACAGCATTAGGTAGATACTATTGTTATCCTCATTTTACAGATAAAGAAATAGAGGTTAAGTAATCTATCCAAAGTTATGCGTTAACTGATAGATCTGGCCTCTTGGACCCAGGCATTCTGGCTCCAGACAATAGCCTTGCTATAGCCTCATAAATAATCTGCATACTAGATTATTAATTGATTTTTTTTTAAGCGTGGATAAAAAAAGTGAGAATACTTGTTAACTTCGTCATAAAAATCAGCTTATTAAACATAAGAAGTTGTATTTCTGTGACTTAGTATACCTTAAATGTGGTTTAGGCATTGGGCTTCTAACTGCAAGGTTGGTGATCCACACCTGACAACCACTCTACGGAAAAAAATAGGAGGCTATATGCTCCTGTAAAGATTGATGTTTCCATAACTGTGCCTCCAACGTGCTCTGTTATATTATGTGAATATCTATACAGCTATATTATTGTTTGGAGTCCTGGTGTGGCGCTGTGGGCTAATGCATCCGACTGCAAAGTCGTTTGAACTGCAAGGTTGGTGGTTCAAGCTTACCAGTTGCTCCTTGGAAACCCTATACAGGGTTGCTATGGTTTGGAATCGACTCGATGGCCCTTAACAACAACAACATAGCAACCTATAACGACCCTGTATAGGGTTTACTAGGAGCATTTGGTGGGTTTGAACTGCCAACCTTGTGATTCACTGTCCAGTACTGATACTTCAGTGCCACACCAAGAGCCCTAAACACAGCTATACAGATGTGCATACACAAATGGCCACAACTATACCTGTATTTTCACATGGATGCACTCCCAAATGCCCTCCCATACCTACAAGCATATGTTTCTATCTATATAACCACATACAAATTTTGGCTATGTTTACTGTTGTTGCAGAATTGTACATATTATAACATTTACTGTTGTCCTTTATTCTTGTACACCTCTCAATGTTTTCATGTACATTGGTCACATTTTGCTGACTTCCCCTGTGTTTTGTATTGCCTTTCCCTTCACCAGAATGTGGCTCTGTAGGATAAGCACTGGACTGCTAATCACAAGGTCAGTGGTTCAGACCAGCCAGCTGCTCTTTGGAAACCCTATACAGGGTTACTATGAGTCAGAACCGACTCTATGGCACTTAACAATAGCAATCGTTAGTGATTCTGCTTCTTCTTTCTCCCATCCCTGATTTATTGTTGTTGTTAGGTGCCATTGAGTCGATACTGACTCATAGCGACCTTATGCACAGCAAGACGAAACACTACCTGATCCTGGGCCAACCTCACTAATGTTGCCACACTTGAGTCCATCGATGCTGCCACTTGGCCAATCCATCTCATTGGGGGTCTTCCTCTTTATCTGTGATCCTCCACCTTACCAAATATGATATCCTTCTCCAGTGACTGGTCCCTCCTGACAATATTTCCGATGTATGAGAGATGAAATTTGGCCATCTTGACCTCCAGGGAGCACTCTGGCTGCACTCCTTCCAAAACGCATCAATAAATGTTTCTTTTTGTATGAAAACCTATTCTTGGCTTTTTATAATAGTGGTCTCATAAAGTATTTGTCTTTTTGTGATTGACTTCTTTTACTCAAAAAAGATAATATTGTATGATGTTCTTTCATGATATCCTCCAGATTCATCCTTACTATGTTTTATGAACACATCATTATTCTTTATCATTACAATAGTATTCCATTGTATGTATATACCATATTTTGTTTATCTATTCACCAGTTGGTGGTTGCTTGGATAGTTTCCATCTGTTGATATTTTGAATAATGCTATAATGAGCATTGGTGTGCGTATGTCTGTTCGTATCAATTGCTCTTGCTTCTCTAGGATATATGCCTAGCAGTGAAGTTGTTGTATGATATATTTCTATTTTTAAGATTTTTTGAGGAACTGTCATACTATTTTCCACAGTGGTGGTACCATTTAACAATTGTGACAGCAGTGTACAGAGGTCCAGTCTTCCCATATTCTTTCCAGGTTTTGGGTTTTTTTTTTTTAATCTGTGCTATTTTTTGTATGACTAAGATGCTATCTACATAGTAGTTTTGATTTGCATCTCTAATGGATAATGATCACGAGCATCTCTTCATGTGTTTCTTAGCCACATAAATGTCTTCCTTGACAAAGTGTCTGTTCATGTCCTTTGCCTATTTTTCTTTTATTGGATTGTTACTTTTTTTTTTTTTAAGGTGTTGACATTTCTGTATGTTTTTTAAGTTTTTATTGTGAACTGAGTGATAGTCTACATGGGAGACCATTGGCTTTACACCATCATTTCATTGCAAGGATTACAATCTTCTTGCATCATCATTCAACAGTATTTGCCTCCATTCCCTCTGTTGTTTTTTGTTTGTTTGTTTGGGTGATGTACACAGGAACACTCAGGAATATATAATAATTTAAACATCTGGTATAATGTTTTGATAAGCACACATAATTTTTAGGAGATACCAATTACCTAGTTTACCATTAGTTTTTGTACACATTTTTGTTATGTTTGATAGTGTGTTTATGCCATAAGTTAGGAACCTTTACTTTGTGCCTATATTATCTTCCAGAAACTCTAGTTTTAGGTTCATTTAGGACTTTGATTCATTTTTAATTAGTTTTTATGTATGTTATAAGGCGTGGATACCATTTCATATTTTTGCAAATAGATAACCAGTTTTGCCAACACCATTTGCTCAAAAGACCATTTCTTCACTATTTGAATAGACTTTGACCCTTTATTGACGATCAGCTGTCCATTGCTGTATGGATTTACTTCAGGGGTTCTCAGTTATGTTACATTGATATAAATTACCGTTTCATATCAATACCAGTCTGTGTTGATAATAGGTTCTGAGATCAGGAAGTGTGAGGCCTTGTACTTTGTTCTTATTCTTCATTGTTGTCTTTGTTGTTGTTAAGTGCTGCTGAGTTGGTTCCTACCCATGGCAAACCTGTATAGGGTTTCTGAGGAGCGGCTGGTGAGTTTGAGCCACCTACCTTGCAGTTCAAACCACCTACCTTTGCAGTCCAGCACATAAATCCACAGCACCACACCAGGACTCCCTGTTCTTCAGTAGTCCTTTGCTTATCTAGGCTCTTTCTTTTCCACATAAAGTTAGTGGTTGGTTTTCCATTTCTTTGAAGAATGCTGATAGATGCTGGAACCAGATTGAATTACATCTATATATCACTTTGGGTAGAGTCTTGACAATGATACGTCTAATAGTCCATGAGCATGGTATGCTTTTCCATTTATATAGGTCTCTTTTGGTTCCTTGCAGTTGTGTTTTGTAGTTCTCCTTGTATAGCTCTTTTACTTCCCTGGTTAGATTTAGTCCTTTGGAGCGGGCTATTGTAAATAGTGGGAGTCCTGGTGTGGCACTGTGAGTTA